GTACATATATACATATATACACACACACACAAAATAGACAAATAATAACGTGAGGAAACGCTGAATAAAAGTTTTTACATTTATTTGTAAAACAAAGGTGGTTATTGACAGAATTTAATTTCTGAATATGACGGGAGGGGTGGGGGTAACGTTTGTTTCTGTTTTAGTTTCTCATGTTCCAGATATAGTATAGGGTTTAGAAAATTAATATAAGCTGGAAAGCTTCACTATACATAAAAGAAATTCACTTTTTTCCATTCAAGATTATGAGATAGACAGTTTTTAAATATATTTTTGACTCCTATGAATTCTCTGAACGCAAAGGGAATTTTTTGATTTTAGCATGTCGACATATTTACCATTTACCATACCGTTTGGATTAATTTTTCTGTTTAAATACAACACGAGCGCTGCTTCGCTTGAACCTTCTGCACCACCTGAACACAGAGGGTCTCTTTAATGACAATCACCAAACCTGACAGTTTTTTTCAGCCTTACCTTGGCAGGACACAGGATCCAGGAGCACAAACAGCACAAACGCAGCCGTCTTCAGTGGCTCCATGGCTCTGTCCCTTCAGCTGTGTGGGAAAAAACAAGCTTTAGCTGCTCTCACGCTAACTTTTGTTGCTTCTGATCAGAGGAAGTGACTGAGTGGACTGAGACWGGGTGCAATCTTCAACGCCCACCAGTTTGTTTCACTGATTTCCTCAGACTTGTCTCTGATGGTCTCTGACACCGTCCCACCCTGAACAAATGGACATTTATTCACTTTTCTGGGAGCTGGATAACAAATACTTGTGTTATGTTCTAAATAATTGATCATTTCTGTTTGTTTCTTTGTTAAATTTAATTTTAAAACAATCAYGGATGAAACTGTTGCACATTGTGGCTCCAGTGGCCTCATGTGTTCAGTACAAACCCCTACAGAAACCCTCTGAAAAGTTCATTTTTTAAATAACTGCGTGCTGTTTTAATGCAACTGAAGTAAGAGAAGTGTCTCTTTTTGCAGACTGATGTCGAGCCTCAGAATAAAGTTTCCATTAAGCTAACGTCTGTTTCCTCACGACTCACAGAGATTGTGCAACTTGATAGAAAGACTCATGACTTCAGAAAGATGCAGAGGTCTTGTTTATGCTAACCTTCTTGCTCTTTGAAGTTCAACCAGACAGTGTTTGTCTCGACCGTTTGAGATCCTGAGTACCACATCTGTCTGCACCGTGCTGCAGGACTCGTCAGAAAACAAATCTTAAGCTTTACTTTGCTCAGACTTATATGATTTCATCTGCTTTACTCTTACTTTGGCATTTGGTTGCCAAAAAATAAAAATGAATAAAAATTCACAATGAAATGATTGTTGTTGCTTTTCCTTTTTGTGTTTTGCTGAATATTATTCATCACTATTTACTAACGGGAAAAATATTGATTTTGTGTAAAATTTCAACAATTTAGAAAGCAACAAAGGACAGTAAGTGCCTTTTTAGGACATATTTAGAATGAAAATCTGCTAAACTGTTATCACAATGATCTAAACTGATCCAAAATAAAAAGAGAAAATATGATGACAAAATTCATAAAACTAAGCACAAAACAGGTGGAAAGGTTTTGCCCTGTTTACAGATCGTCTCACTGCCTCATCTTCAGGACAGTTTTTACTCTAACACTTGGAAAATGGTTTTAGTTTTTCATTTTAATAAAAATAAATAAAGGCAAAAGTTAGTGATGCATTAAAAAGTCATCTTGTTTGCATAATAAGACCAGAAACTTAAGGTAAAGTAAAAAAAAAAAGCAGGAGACAGAAAAATGTAAAAACAACACATGGAAATAGAAAGACTTGTAGGAGAAAAAACAATAAACAAAATTAAAT